CACAGCTCAATTTTACTGTGTAATCGAATTACACGTGAATTTTTAGGTTTTATAAGGAATTAATAGATCATTTCATTGTAGCTACAATGAGTTCTTATAGCTACAGTAATTTCAAATGTAGCTACAGTGAGTTTACTATAACTACAGTAATTTTATTATTTTTACCTGATTTTTTTTAATGTGTAATGTTAGTTATTAACTTTTAATGGAAAATGGTGATTGTGTGACCAGTAATTGTCGCATTAGCAAGAACTTCGCATGTCAATAGACAACAAACACACATAATGAAAAGTACTTCAGATGTAAGTTTTGTAATCAAGTGTGTAGTGGAACAATAAACAAAATAAAGCAACATCTTGGCGGCACACACTAGAGCATTAAACCATGCACTAAAGCCCCCACTGAAGTTTAAGAGAAATGCAGGAAAACATTAGAAGAAAATGCGAAAGTCAAAGCGCAATGTGACAGTATATTAAGTGATATTAGAAGTAGAGCAACAAATGATTGTTAATGTCAAAATGCCCCTAATTCATCATTATTAAACTCCTCTCAAAGACCACCTAGAATTGGAGGGCTGTGTATTCTTTACACACAACACTAGCAAGGAATTCAACTCTACATTCTAAGCGGAAAAAAGATGAAAGAAAAGAAGCATGTAAAGTAATTGGAAGATTCTGCTATTCAACCAAATTGACATTTAATGTTGCCAATGATCCATATTATACTCTATGTTTGAAGTAGTTGCTAACTTTGGACTTGGTTTTGCTCCATCTACAATACATGAATTAAGAACTTGGATACTCCAAAATAAAGTTGTTACAATCAATAAGATGATAGAGAAGCATAAAAAGGCTTGGAGTAAATATGACTGCTCAATTATGTCAGATAGTTGGACAGAAGAAAAAAGGTAGAGCTTTGATTAATTTTCTTGTTAATGGTCCACCTGGGACTTTTTTCCTTGAATTTGTGGATGTTTCTAATGCATATAATGAGTGGCGAGTTATTATTCACTTATTTGGATGACAGGATTGATGAAGTAGAAGAAAAAATGTGGTGCAAATTATAACAGATAATTGATCAAATTATGTGAATGCGGTAAAAAGGTAATGGAAAAAAAATAACATATTCATTGGATATCTTAAGCAGCACATTGTATTGTATAATGTTAGAAGATATTGAAAAGTTAAATATTCACAAAAGCACAATTGCAAAAGCAAAACAAGTTGTTCAATTCATTTATGAGCACACATGGGTCCTTAATGAGATCATTTACAAAAGAGAGGGAACTCGTTCGTCCAGCCATCACACAGTTTGCTACTGTATATTTGACCCTTCAAAGCATTTATAAGCAGAAGCAACCACCTCAGACAATGTTCTCCACAGAAGTTTAGTGTTCTAGTCAATGAGCTAAGAAGACAGAAAATCTAAAAGCTCGAGCATTTATTTTGTTTGATCCATATTTTTGAGGTCATCTAACTTGTTGTATCAAAAGTGTTATACCGCTTGTAAATTTTTTAAGAAAGGTTGACTCAGAAGAAAGACCAGTCATGGTTATGAGTTAATGGATTCAGCAAAAGAAAATAATGCTTTTAATTGTGAGCATAATGAAAAGAAGTATGGACATATTTGGAGGAAAATTGATGCAAGATGGTAAGTCCAACTACATAAATCACTACATGCAGCTGGTTATTATGAAGAATGCCCAAGAGCTGTGAAGATAATTTTTCTAATGATGACGAGTGAAACAAGGGTTACTTGCTTTTATGAAAAAAAATGTTAGATTATGAAGAATGCCCAAGAGCTGATATTCAATTAAGCTTGTATGATAACTTAAAAGAAAATTTTGGGAGTAGAGTTGCTATAAACTCAAGAAAGATACGATCTTCTGATTGATGTATGAGATATGGTAGAAAACGCTTGAGTTAATGAATTTTATTATTTGAGTTCTTAGCACCGCAAGCAGTTCATCAGGTTATGAAAGAAATTCGAGCACTTTTGAATCGGCAATAACTTTTTATTTTTTAAAATAATTATTATATGTTTTCACAATCACCTCTTAAAAATAATATTTTTTTTTATCTTAGATTCATACTAAGAAGAGGAACATATTAGAGCATAAGAGATTGAATGTTCTAGTGTATATAAGATATAACACTAGATTGAGGTAGAGAAGTATAACAATAAAACAAGACTTCAATCCAATATTGAAAAATGACATAGACTCTGTTGATAAGTGGATTGTTGAGAAAGAAGATTCAGTGCTTCCACAGGAACCTTCTTGGGTGATTGAAGAACAAGTATTTGATGTTGATCTAAAAAAAATGTTTCCACAACTAATGCAAATGAAAAATCAATAAATATTATACAAGAAAAAAAGAATATTTTTATAACATATTCCCATAGAAAAAGAAAGCTGAATGAAATTTTCCTATTTACATTTACTTGCTCTTTACATAATTATGCATTCTTATAGAAAAAAAATTTTAAGTATTCTTGAATGTCATTTTGTTTTTTTTTTTAATTTAGGCAACAATGATAAGAAGAAACAAAATGTGAATGCACCTGAGATTGAGCATGATGATAACCTTAATGAAGTGAATATTGAATGCAAATAATATGAAAGTCCTAGTTGTGATTTGGATACAATTATTGGTGAAGAAGAAGATTTTGAGAAAGAATTTGAAAAACGAATAACATTCAGGGATTGAGATCAATTGAACACAAGTTTATTTTTTGATTCAAATATATTTACCTATTTTGATATGTTTTTACATTTTGTGGTGGATTTATACTAACATCTTGAAGATTCTAATCCTAGAAAGCTTATTTTAAAATTAAATGAATATAAATTCTTTTAATATATCTTAATAATTTTGTTATTAAGCATAAATGGTTTCTTTTTTTCTCTTAATATTTATATTCCTTATTTTTGTTCATATTGTGAGGCTTACGCCCAATGCCTTGGGGCTTAAACCTTGCCCCGTAGCAGCTAAAATGCCCCGCCCAACGCCCACGTCTTTAAAAACATTGCTCATAAGCCAAAGTCAAAGTAATCAAATTGTAGTTGAATATTTCAACAAATTTGAGTTATTGTTAGTTACCGTCTTCAAAAAAATGATAGCATAGTGCCCTTAAATTTTTTTAATGGACTTCATTTTGATCTTAAATGCAAAATACAATTTCAAAACCCTGAATCCCTTGAAGAAGTTTATCATATAACTCGTCAAGTCTAAAAATCACAGAGTTGCACCATCACCTTTTTCAACATTGTTTTAAACTCTCAAATAGGATATATCTTATCCTATTAATTCTTCTACTATACCTCCCCTTAACCAATTCTTATAACTATGGTAGCTAGACATAGCCAAGCAAATAACACCATATATGCCAATAGAATGCCCAATAGCCCAAAGCATAACGTAACCCACATCATGTGTTATTTGCATAATAGGCATACATCCTATGCTATTTGCATAATAAGGCACAACAAAGTAAAATAGTATAACACTATGTATTTGCTATTGCACAAAAAAGCACATGGAACCCATTATTTTACTTTTTATTGATTGATTTTTTAAATAATTTTTATCTCTCCGTAAAATAAAAATATTATGAAGGTGGAAATTGATAAGTCGTGTACCTCATGTAAAAGCAAAGTCGACGGCCTCATAGACTACCCATAAGAAATAAATTTTAGAGCAATTCCGAGTATTGACATCCAAAAATCAAATGTTGCATCACTTGTCAAGTTAAGTTTGTTTGGTTTTTTTTTTTTTTTTTATGCCACAAGCATTAAAAAAAAAAAAAACTTTAGCTCATCCTAAAAAGTGAAATGTCATCCAATTGCTTTTCTTAAAAATAAAGTGCTACATTTAAAATATCTTCCTCCTTTAAAACACTCATCCATTTATTATTAACAATCTCTTGGGTTAGGCTTCAAAGGACAAATTAATCAAAATCTAGAAATATCTAATGTCTTCTATAAAACCAAGATCTGTGTAGCAATTTATAAAGAGGAACAATAACACATTAAAAAGACTCCCCATAATTTAAATATCATGTCTGACATGCATCAATCTCAGCATCCAATAGGAAATCCACTTGCTGACTTTTGCAGGTTTCTGCAATGTATGTTTTCGTTTTGTAGTACATCAAAACTTTTATAGCAGAACTGGTATAGCTAACGTTAAACTTTTTACAAATAAAACTTCAGACCAAGTCACATTTATAATCATTACCAGATCAAAATCTCAAGAACCTTTTGCATACAAGGATGTAAACTTTACACATATTTGTTGTGGCTACACCTAGTGCAACAGCCCTGTGTGTTTGAAAAGTACATAGCTCATTAAAACCTTACGAAAACTTTAGGAGCACAGTTGTAACTAATATACACTAATACTGGTTGGGAATGTGAGAAAAGAATAAAATGATCTGATTTTGAGAGAATATTGGCATCACATGTATAACAAATTGAGCTGCAAGAATATATATGAAAGCGTTACCTGTTCAAAGTTGCTCCAAACATTACAATCAGGTCCCCGACCATCACGTACTACCCTTATGTCAATATCTGCACCCTGATTGAATTCAATTAGAATCTTCAAAAGTTCAAAAACTAAACAAACAAAAATAATTTCTATGTGCCCAGAAAAAAATTAGCAAAAAACCATGGTGATTCGTAAAAAATAAGATAAATCGACACAAACCATAGTCATTGCTCCAAAATGTGCAGCAGCAATAAGGATGCTCCCAGTTCCAACAAAAGGATCGTAGATGAATTTTCCCGGTCGTGCCAATCCTTGATTTGCCATTAGAAAGGCTATCTCGGCATCCATGGCAGTAGGTCCTATGTATTTTCGACTTTTTAACTGATATGTTGGTAGGAGTTTTCTATCAGCTGCTCCAACTTCCCTACCAAAAAATATTTTTCTTTCTACAACAGGTGGAAGACCATTGTTTTCTCCATAGTTGTCAATTTCCATGAGATAGAATTTATGATCAGGATTACGTAAATCCACTCTACCCTGTGGATAGTCGTGTTGACAGAATTTTAGAAGAGGAGTGTAAATGAGAGTTAAATATTTATTAGGGGCATACACATACATATCACCGAATTCTTATGTATTCACATATCTAAACCTAATGCTTACTTTTTTTACATTTATACCACCCAAATTTTTCATATCACATAAAAAATGCCACTATTTTAACTTTTACAAGGAGAAATACACCTTTTCATACATAGGTAAGGTGACATGTAAAAATTG